CTTTCCCTTCCCCATTTGCTACACACAGTTTGGCAGTTTGGATCTTTGGTTGAAGAATAAGACCACAGCTTACTCATTCTTTGTTGGCTGCCCTTCATCTTATTCTGAAAAGTAATCTGGTAACTACTTAACTAGAATTCTGGGAGAGTGGGGGGAAAAAAAGCTTGTGCCTTCCATAGGTACCTTCCCTTTCTGCACTAACTAAAAAAAATTGAATTGAGGAATTGCCTCTTTGTGGATCAGCAATCTCCATCTTATCTCAGGACTAGGAAAGATGGAAGCTGTCAGTTTTGGGATGAGAGAAAGTTTGGTTTTATTTTAGAAAAAGCTACCTGGTATACTTTTACTTCTCATTAAAGGTGTTACATAATTGATTTTGAAGACATGTAGTAGTAAGTGGTATGTGCCTGCCAGAATTTACAATGTTAAAGCTTTTTAAATCTGACTCCATTTTGCAGTTGAATTCTGCAGGTGACTTTTCCGGCAGAGGAAGATGGCAGAGAATGGCAGTTTCTTCATGGACATTTTACATAATCTGAAACCATATACACCACTTTATTTCCACTTCACTGGTGGAACCTTGAGACTGACCTTCTTGGATTTTTCTCTTCTCTTACAATGGCTCTTTTTCCTTTTTCCTTTTTATTTATGTTTGTTGTAGAGTGAATATCTGCATTGTCTGGAAAGCTTAAGATTAGGTTCTACGATTGCAGGTGGTTTGGATAGAGAAAAAAATCTTGCATGAAATTTTTCTGTGTGCTAATGTAGTAGAAAGATTTATGCTATAATTAATTCTAATAGAGAAAAGTTAGAAAAGCTTAATTGAGGAACTCAGAATTCAAGCTACTTACCTGAATGATTTCTTAGAAAATTTCTGAATTAGTATGATAATATTTTATAATTCCTTTATAAATATTTTATAATTTGGCAGGCATAAATTTTGCAAGATTTGATTCAGCTTGATTAGAATTTTCATGGACTGTTATTCCCTACTGGATACATGTTCAGATCCCAAATCCCATTGGAGAAAGGCTTGAGACTGCTATGTAATGGAGTTGTATGATTCATTATTTTGTAAAAACAAATTTTAGTCATTTTTGGGAATAAAATTCCTCTTCCCATCACTCTTCTCTGATAATATAAATGTCAGTCAGTGTAAGACTTTCCTTCAAATGAAAGTAAATAGCCATTGACGATTTGCTACATATCTTTTGTTCTTCGTACCAAATATATAGTGCTACATATAGCACAAAAAGAACTGTAAAAAAGTAGATTGTATTCACAGATGCAATGAAAAAGCAGAACTACCTGCATCTTTACTTGAAGTTAAAAAGACATTTAATTGCATATACAAACAAATATATATAAAAATCAATCTTTGAAGAAAACATATTCAGCTTTTCAGAGCTTGTAAAATACCTTGCTTTTAGACACCTTCAGGTATTACAAGCAGATATTCAGACACTGTATTATGCACAAAACTTTGGGTTTATTAATGACTTTCAACATTGTGGATGATATCTTTGATATTTACCTAAATGGACATAGTTTGCACAATAATTGTGCTTTGCTTTGAGTAGAAAATTCTATTCATTTTGCTTTGCTGTTCAAACCCTCGTGGGTGTGTTCTGCCATTTTCATCTAGGGATTCTGTCTCTACCATAATAGAAGTAATTAAATTTCACAAGTATTAGGAGTCATAGAAGTACCTGTTCAAACCAAGTGTGTTACTGTCAAGTCATTCAAACCCACTGTGATTTCACTGTGTGACATAGAAAAGAGGACAAGGTGAAAAGTAAAGCAAAAATTCTCCTGATAAGTGAAGAAAAACTTGTCTCATGTAAATAGGTCAGAAAATTACTAAAAGCTGGCATTTGAAGGGAGTCCATAGCCTCATCACAGAGTTTGTTTTGTAGCTGGGTTTGCTTATATTTTGTGGTATTGCAGAATTTTAGTAGCCTAAATTGATTTTAAAGTAAATTAATAATTTTTATTAAAGCATGATGAGGCTGTTTTCTTTAAAACAGAACAGGAGGTGCTCACAAAGACTTAAATTCATGTAGCCTGTTCTCTGTAAGCTGCACCTGAAGTGAGTTTACTGACTCAAAATAAGATTAATAAAATTGTATCAAAGTCCATCTATCCTAGCATCATGTCTCTTAGAACAGTCAACAGCAGCAGTCCGAAAGAGCATAATAACAGGCCTAAATACTCTTCTCGTATCCACTAATCTGTGAGCCAGGGTCTTCCTCAGAGCTGTAATTTTTTTTTTAATTGATTTAATGCCCTCAGTGTATTTTTCTTTATGAAATTGACCAATCCTTTCTAGAATTCTTCTTGAATGCATGTGAACTATTACCATCCACAGCATCCTGTGGTACAGAGTCTTTCACACAGTATGCAAATAAATTTCCTGCCTGTTTCTGAACCTGGCACCTGCTCGTTTCATTTGATGCAAATAATATTTATATTGTAAGGTACAATAAGCCTTTGCTCTTTACGTAGGCCACATGGAGAAATGAATAGACCTTTGCCAACCTTTGGTTGTCTCTTTTCCAGAACAAAGAGATATAGTCAATTCAGTTATTTCTTATATGGAATATTCAGTTACTGTCATTGCTATGTGTACCTTTTTCAGTTTTAATATATCCTTGAGATGTGGGATCAGAATAGTGCATGTTCTAAAAGCACTACAAATCTATTCAGAAGTGTGATGATAATTTTTCTCTCACAATAATTATTTCAAATTTTTGGCATGGGTTTCTGACTATTATTTAGCCTTGTACTAAGTTTTTCGTAGAAATACCAACTGTAAACCAAATACACAGTAGTGTCAAAATAAACTCCGTTCTAGAATATCATGGCTGTAAAGACATGATCTTTAAACCAGATTATTGAAACCAGTGCAAATCTGGCACTCTGCTGTCTCTGAACAGTTACTACTTTTGTTTGGTTTAGCTCTCTTGAAAATGTAGAAGGACAAACTGTTGTAATGATTTTGCACATGATGGGTTTTTAACTCTCATTATTTTTGTGTACAGGATACAAGCTTAATTATGTATATTAGGTGTGTGATCATTCCATACATGTTGGCACCCAAATAAAAATTTTTTATTTACTGAAGAAGCCACATTTGCAAATATGACACAATTATGTTCTATTTTAAATATTTTCCTTGAAACTACAGTGGCATAAAACAAACTTTAAGATCATGCTAAACATGTCTTTTCTTCTTTTCTCAAACTACCGAAATTGCTGATCAATAGTCATACCTGGATGTCTGGCATAAACTTGGAAACCAGGGTACTTTTTTGTTTCATGTGTGACTAATCCAGAAGTTCTGCAGGAAGTTGGTGTTACAGTACCTTTTTTTTTCAATCTCAGCTGAACTAAACACATTAAGTGGAAATGGTATGTAAAAGCAAAGTAAAGGAAATGTAATTAATTTCATATAATATTTATTGAAATTAAGTTTATTACACAGAAAGTGTATTAAAATGTAGATAAATATGATTTTCCACCTTTTGCAGATGAAGACAATGAAGTACAGAGTTCTCATAGCAACAGGGAAGAACTGAAAAGAGGATCCTTGGTCCCCTGACTCCTCTTCCAGCGTTCCATACATAACTGAAGGTTAGACAACTAGATTACCACTTTATTTTCCCCTATTCTTGCTTTTTACAGAGACAAAAAATTAATTAGAAAATGAAATTGTTTTCAAGAATGTGAGTAGCATTGACAGGTAGCATTTATAAAAATTAACTAACATAAAAAAACAAGATAGGAAAGGAACCACTGTAACTGTGATTTTTGTAATTGTCTTTAGGCTTTAGAACTTTGCTTGTCAATATTAATGTAATAAAAAGCAGACTGTACTTCTTTAATTAGTTGTTCATATTGATTCCTTCTAGTAAATATACAAGTGTAAGATCAGACTATTTTGGCTATCTTATAGGTCATGGGCATCTAGTACCGTCATACACATTGTGATCCTGTCCTCATGACATGCTGGTATTTGTAGAATCATTCCTCACTCTCTTTTTTTTAATCACATGCAGCAGTGAATCAAAGAGGGATTAGTGGTTGGGTATTAATACGTAGTTACAAGGTGTCTTGGTTATAATAAGGAAACAGTGGAATTATGATGGAATCAATTTACACAATATAAAAAGTAGGTATTTAGTATTACATTCAATTTTAACTACTGGGGAGGAGGAATTGATTACAAATATTTATAAAAACCTTATCAACTCATATTAGCAACATGCTAATACTACAGTTAAAATAGTTTGTCTGGCCAGTATTCTACAGTTCAACTACATGTTATGTTTTCAAAATATTGTTCTTGCCTGTAGAGTGCTTTTCTGCAAGATGGTATTAGAAGAACCTTTGACAGACAAATGCAAAAAGTGGGGGAGAGCCTGTCCTAAAGTGTTTTTCTCCTTCCATGGCCTAAGAAATTGATGGAAATACATAAACTTTTGTTTAAAAACAGCCTATATTTGAAAGTGAGTTTCTTTCTTTGACACATGAATGCAAGTGACATGACTGGTACAGCAGTCCAGTCCTTGTATGAGCTGCACCTTGGACTGGGCATTTATCTCACTGTAGTGGCCAGTAGCAAATGCTTAGTAGAAAGAACAAGAAATAGATCAAGTATGAGTTAATTTTCCCCAGTATGTATACACAGCTTCCAACAGTAATTCTAGGAGAATCGTGTGAACTCAGCTTGGACTTGTCTGTGACACAAAAGAACAAGTTTTGCAGCCAGAGAATCAGATACTGGAAAAAGGTGAGCAATAATTCAGAGAAGCAGAGCAGAAAAAACAGTGGACATAAAAGTGTAAAAATGCTTCTTCAGTTTAAGAAGTGGTAGGAGGTGTGGAGAGGTGCATGAATCCTGCTAAAATGCAAAAGTTTTGAACAAGGAATTGACTGTGAAATATTGTTGTTGTCCTTCCTGTTGGTGAGGCCAAAAAAACCAAGAGGTGTAGACTATGCGGGCTCCATATCCTGGGGATTACAAATGTAAGAAAGACAGGCTTCTTAAATGTGTGTTGACATCAAAAATGTTCAGGAAGAGATTTTTGGAGATACATAAATAGGAGTAATTTATTGCAAGGTAGGCATCTGATACCTCTTAATCCTTGCAAGGATGTCTCTACAGGAGATTAATGTTGGGGGAATATTCACACTTATGATATGATTTTGTTGTTTTACTGCAAATTCTGAAGCAGTTCCAAGATTTTTCTGAATACAGTTACCAGATGACAAGCTTAAAGTTTCTCCTGTGAACAACTGCAGACAGCAAATCTGGCACTGAACAGTGTCTAAAATGAGCAGCTGTTTTGCTCCTGAATGTCAGTAAAGAGTCACTTGGGGTGTGATGGTATGCAGTAACAGAAATCAGTTACTTCTGTGCAGATAAATAGGAAAGGACAAACTGGTAGAAATTGAAAGGTTAGACCTTTTTCTTAGAAAATACTCTTCAACAAAAATGACTCAGTTCTTTTCCCTAATAGCTACAAGAATGTAGAGCGGATGACAAGGTAAATTCAGAAAAGAACTGGGAGGAAGGAAGGCTACTTTTCTGTGTAAGCAGAGGACATAGTGAATGTGCAGTGGAGCAGTCTGTTTCTCCCATCCAGAAATGGAAGCTAGCAGAGTTGAAAAGACATTACAAAACTAGTATTGAAAGACTAAAGTATTTATATTAAGCCATCACTCTTTGTCTTGTACTGATTTGTACTTGACTCATGTGGTGTACCTCTCAGGGAAGGAGCAAATAAAGCATGTGGTCCAAACATGTAATTGGGGCTATACTAAAATGGTTTGGAAATGTGAAGGCATATCTGCGGCTCAAGCATTGTTCAGGTTTTGACCCATGTGAGTCCAAGCAAGAGTGGAGTATACCACTACCACATGGCAGGAGTTTTCTGGGGAACTAGAGAAGGCAATAACTGTGTCTTGTAGCTTAGGTGTCAGTAGTGTTCTCACACTACATTCTGCCATTTTTTTCCTGGTAAAATAGGGCTCAGTAGTCTCTGGTTCTCTTTTGATGAGTAAATTTGAGAGTTGGTTCATGGTGGAACAGGGTGAGATGGACGAGGGTCTGTCCTTCATATTCCCATGAGCATAAGGCATTTAGGAGCACTGCTACCCCAAAAAATGTGGTCTTTTGCATTGGCCCAAGAGTATAATGTATGTGGATAAAAGATCTTGAAGAGCTGGATTTTTGCAGCAAGGGAAGTAATAATTTTTTCTGTTTATTAGAAACCAAGCTGCCTTTGAGCCAAGGATTTTCTGGGGAAAGGAATTAAAGTGAAAATTGGGGTATTGTGTAAGGATGCAGAATAGAATCATAGAATTGTTTGGTTTGGAAAGGAC